ATTAGATTCACACACATATCCTTCCATCTCGCTTTATTGTTTCATTAGATCCACACACATATCCTTCCATCTCGCTCTGTTTCATTAGATTCACACATATATCCTTCCATCTCGCTTTATTGTTTCATTAGATTCACACACATATCCTTCCATCTAGGTCTGTTGCTTCATTAGATTCACACATATATCCTTCCATCTCGCTCTCTTGTTTCATTAGATTCACACACATATCCTTCCATCTCGCGCTTTCTGACCGTGTTAGTTTGTGTAGAACCGGCCATTTAAGATTACGTTGTCCTACTTTGCGTTGCGAAGGTAGTTTTTCCAAAGCTTTTGAATGTATTACTGTCACCTTACCCGCTATACATTCTATTACCCTATACCCTCAAAGACCGTACAGAGTGCCAAATTCTCCTTGTTCCGACTATCGTATGTTCCCACCCTTATATCTGATCACTATTTTACAAGCGAGGAAAGGTCTCACATCTTTACAGAGGAGAATAAGTTGCTTAACCTTACATAATGAGTCTGCCGAAGATCTTGCAAAAGGTGGGGATAGGGGTGGGAGAAGATGAGTAATAACAAACAGTGGTGAAAGGGGTAGGGGTGGGAGAAGATGAGTAATAACAAACAGTGGTGAAAGGGGTAGGGTGGGAGAAGATGAGTAATAACAAACAGTGGTGAAAGGGGTGGGAGAAGATGGGTAATAACAAACATGGTGCAAGGGGTAGGGGTGGGAGAAGATGAGTAATAACAAGCAGTGGTGAAAGGGGTGGGAGAAGATGAGTAATAACAAACAGTGATGAAAGGGGTAGGGGTGGGAGAAGATGAGTAATAACAAACAGTGGTGAAAGGGGTGGGAGAAGATGAGTAATAACAAACAGTGGTGAAAGAGGTAGGGGTGGGAGAAGATGAGTAATAACATACATGGTGCAAGGGGTAGGGGAGGGAGAAGATGAGAACGAACAAAAAGTGCTTGTATATGGTTTTTGAAGTAACAACTACATATATATATCGAGAAATTAAAAGTATGTATGTTGGAGTATAATGCTTTAGTTGCAGATGGCACATTAAATATGATACATACATACAGAAGGGCGAACTGAGACAGTGTCAGTTCATATGTAATTCAAACACATTGTGTTTTCAGCCATGGTTTTGTTTATCTATTTATCTTATTAATGACGTTGTATTACTTCCAGAGTTTCGCAGTCAAACTTTTTCAGTAATACAAACTTCAAGATTGCGCAAGCTCTTTTAAAACGCAACGTAATTTCATTATTTCATTTTCTTACCATTCAATTAGCTTATCTCGTGTCTTCAAAGACACACGATCTGTCTCTTAGAGCGATCAAATGAGACATAAAAAATTAAATAGTTAAGCATTATTCCTATCTATGTTATTATTTTGGTTTAGACTTTCTGCCTGAAGACTCGCCGTTGTCCAAAAGACCAGTTTTTTTTTTGGGGGGGGGGGACTTACGTCTAGGGAGAAGATTGTGTTGGATCTCCCGTTTAGTCTTTCTGTCTAAGTCTCACCGTTGTCCAGAAAATCGTTTTTATTTGGGGGGGGGGGACGTAAAACTGGAAATAAGATGGTGCTGGATTTCCCATTGGTCAAAAATAAATTTGATGCAAGATTTGAATCTGGTTTTTCGGATCTCTATAGGTAAAACTGGCTTTCCTCGTTTTGACGTTAACATAAAGAATATAAACGGTACGAAGATTGATTGATCAATACGGTAATTCGTGTATTTGTTGCTCTTTTTGTTAACGTGTCCAGAGAATTTTCTATTGCGTTTATATTTTACTGCAGCCAGCGTTAATTTCATTTCAGCACAATTGAGGTAGATGTGGAAAAAAACTGGCATTGTTTTAATAAAACAAGGAAAACTTGGACACCCAAAGCTGTCTCAAAGTATGTTTCGGAACACTAGTGCTCCGATAATATCAATCTTTATTAGCCTGAGAGTTAAAGTATGCAGTACAATAGTTTTGTTCAGAACATAACAGACGCGTGTGGCAGAAAACGGGAAAATCTACGAGCACATTTTTGTCAAATCTATTACACCTTGAAAGATCTCTAGATACCAGCTTTCCATATTAATGGAC